AGTTTAAAGGATTTCAAATAGGGAAATGCGTTTTTGATCTTAACCTTTCTGATTCTGGTTCCAATGGTTATATTAAGTGGTTGGACAAAAATACCCTTTGATTCCGACTGCACTTACCACTAAAATGACCAGAAGGGTTAAAAGCACACACTTTGTTCAGGAACTATTCTAGACAAAATTTAGATTAAGGGCCAAAACTTGATAATAAAAGTAGTTTAAGGGCTTTTTATACACCTTTTTTTAATGTCTCTTTTTTTTTTTATAATGGCTTTCTTTACACTTTTACTCATCTTCCTATTTTGCACTGAGGACTAAATTTGACAGAAATCCTTAAACGTGACACTTTTTTCATTGAGAAATTTATTGTTGAGGAGCCAAAAAAGTACAAAGGAAATAATTTAGGAGTTGGACGGATAGTTTTCTCCATGCTGTGTAGCTTTGGACTCGGCACTCTTATCAACAACAACAACCACACGAATACTTCCAGGAAAGAACACTTTGGAAAAACGCAACTTCTCCGGTTGGTAAATTGACTTCACGGACCCGAGACTTTGACTGCGGTCAATTGCGTGAGTGTCCAGCACGGCCACACTACAGGGCAATTCTTAGCAAATTACCAGATTGTTATTGGCCAATCATATGGCACTGTTGGAATTTTTTTCTTTTGAAGGGATGATAGTCAATTGGAGTGTTTGACGATAATTGGAAAATATGATTGTGGCTTTTGAGTACAAAAGTCACTACTATATTGTTAGTTGTTACCCATAAACAAAATAATCCAAACGAATTTCATGGTCATCTTTGTTAGTTGTTTGTAAAAGCTTAAGATTCCGCTCACTAAAATCTAACATTGAATTAATTGAATCCATTATGTTGGGATTGTGGTTTTCCACAAAAAAATTTCTATTTTTTCCGAAAACGCATTTTTTAATTACCTTTTTATTTTACATATATCAAATATATATATATTTTATGAAACTCCTAAAAATAACAATTCAAACGGTCTTTAATCTCTTTTCTACCATCATTTATCTTATTGGAAATTGAATAGCTAACGGTTGTATGATAAATTTTGATTTAGTATGGGATCACTTCACCTCAAGGACACCTTTTGGATTGAAGGAAAGGGAAGGAAAGGAAAATTGGGAAATTGGAGGGATTTGATTTACGTTGTTTCGATTGATTCTTAAGGAGAGAAATGAAAGGATAATGAGAAAAAGGATCACATTGTTTTGATGAGTTATAGTTTTTAGGGTTAATTCCACTTTGTCCCCCCAAACTTTGGACGATTACCCACTTCAGTCCATAAACTTCAAAATTGGACACTTAAGTCCCTAAACTTATAAATACCTCCCACTTAAGTCCCTAAACTTATAAAATGGGACACTTAAATCCCTAAACCCTTATAAAATGGGACACTTGGACCACCAACGGCATTCAGGATTTGTTAACAATTTTCCTCAAGTGGGAGGTATTTATAAGTTTAGGGACTTAAGTGTCCCATTTTGAAGTTTATGGACTGAAGTGGGTAATCGTCCAAAGTTTGGGGGGACAAAGTGGTATTAACCCCTAGTTTTTATTCAAAAGTGGACGAAAATAAAAGCAAAAGGTATTAGGTTTAATGAAATAAATTTAAAATTTTTAAAATTACCATGTGCTTGTATCAAACTCCTCAAAGGAGCTCTTTACCACTTGACAGAATGGTGTTTGAAACAATTTCCCCTAATACAAATAGAGTAAGTTTTGTACGTACAGTCAGTTTACAAAATTATTTTTACACTAACAGTTTTAAATCATGTCACATAACATAAACTCAAATTTGTAATTCAAATAATGCACATGTGATATACATTCATAATTGTTAGTACTACATTATTAGTGCATAAAAAAATTAATCCATACAAATATAGTTCTACCCTTAGTCCCATTCTTATGGGATGTCCCCAAAGAAACAAAAAATGAGACCTAGCGGGCTATTGTGAATTAGATACAACACAACCTTCATTTGAGCCACATGAAATTGAAAGTATAAGAAAATTAAACACAGCATTCCCAAGGACAAAGCCAATGAATGGGGTCGGCAAACATTCTCCAAGTGAAAAGCACGATTTTCAATTTGACAAACCAAACCCCAGAAAGGAGTTAGAAAAGAATTTTCTTCCCCAAGACCTTGTATTTTGCTACTGCATCGACAGAGCCAAAATTTTAGTACAAAAGGAGTGCAATTCCCTTATTTTTCTTGTATTTTGAATTCTATGGCCCTTTTTCTAACAATAGAATCTATTTCCCGTATCAGTCATTTCAACAATTTTTGAGCGAAATCACGGGTTCAAAATGATTAACTAAGTTATTTAGTAGCATATAGGACTCGACTTATATTCGAGCTTATTTCTCCTCCATCCACAGAAGATTCTAGGGGGTTTCATTTGCAATTTCATCTAATCTCTACGGGCTACTAAAAAGATCAGATCAGACCGGAACCTTGCATAATGTTGCAGGGCTAAAATTCTACAAACTCAACCTTGGAATTTGGATACTCACTGTCAAACAAATTTGAAGTGAAGTGGAATCAGTCCAGTAAGATAACAACTCCCTTCCCTCTTCAAAAAGAAGAGTTAGGAGACAAGAAAAAGGGGAACTGAACAAGAATTTAGATATGTGCAACTTTTATTTGGACAATTACATAATGGGCTCAAAACCACCAATACCACAGGGAAAAGAAAGAACTCATGGGATCTTTACTATAGCAGAGCACTTCATGATTGGAGGAAAGAAGCTCTTGGAGTAGTGGCAAGGCTGTGAGTGAAGCATTGCATTGCAACTTTCTCTGTATAAATAATGATTTGGTGCAATAAAATCACTGCAATGTCCTTCACTTTGTAATCAACTCATTACCTGTAACAGACTTTTCCTTGGTGCCAAATGCAGAGGAAAAGAGCAACATAAGGCTTTGTTTCGATTGCATTTTGCTGGATTTTTTGTAGAAAAATTACTGTAACGATTTGATATATGTGAAGTAAAAAGGTAATTGAAAAATATGTTCACGGAAAATGTAATAATTTTTCTTTAGAAAATTGCAATCCACCATAACCTAAGTACATGAGAACTTGTACAGTAATATATTTTTAGTTATGGTGACAATTAATATAACAAAACACTTCCTAAAAAAAACAAAACATATAACAAAACACTCTCCAATATAACATCACAATATGCAGCTTTATCTCCATGATGCACAAATGCCTTAATCATTCAAAAATTGTACATCTCCAATTTTTATTCAATCTAAGATTGTTGATTAGCAAAAATTTAAAATTTGTTAACAAGATTGATATTGATATGAAACAAAAGTGGTGCTATTATGATAGACGAGTCCTTATTGCTTGTACTTGATTCGTGCTGGGGAGAATCGAACAAGATTTGCTAGCAAGCAATTCGAAAGGTACAACTCAATAGTGGAGGAAAAGAAGAAGAAGAAAAAAAAGTTTAGGCCCGCATCTAAATTCTCAAATCACCTTACTTCTTGTTATATAGGATCAACTTTTTTTAATGAATAAAATTGGAATGATGTCCATTTTGAGTTCTTGGATGGTAGTTATGTTAAAGTTTTGAAATGAATTTTAAAAATTTGATAACTCATAGGGGGGGTTGTTAAATTCCTTTATTTTGATTCCAATTCCTAGATAATTTTCATTTCACATTTTGTTATCCACTGCCCTTCTAAGTCCTTTCTTTTTTTTTTTTTTTTTATATATATAACATTATTATAATTGGTCCTGTACTTGGAGAAAGGAGACGAGGATAGATTTATCTAATATATTGAGAGATTCGAAAGAAGCTAATAACCTTCGGTCATGATACAAAAATTTTTTGAGAGAAAACGCAGTTAGTAGAGTTCAACCCCCTGACCTACGCTTAGGGAGGGACTCAGTCCCTCATCTGGTGGCCAACTGAGCCAGCTTAGTTGGTTCCCTTTTGAGTCCTAATTCCCCTAGCCATTGGCTCCATCACCTCCTCCCCCTCCTCGCTTCTAACCACTCATCTCCTCCTCCATGGTGTCTCAAAAACTGTCCATTGCCCTCGTTCCTATCCATCCACTCCATCCTCACCCCCAAAATCCGAATGTGGCCCTCCAAAATTCATCCAGCACGGCAAGCTCATGTACAACCTTTTTCTCCTTTTTCATGTCCATCACCTACAAATCTAGATTAGCATTCGAAAATTACTACCGCGATCTTGAGGACTTCAATTCTGACTTGAGAAAAGAAGCCACCACCATCATCCATGAGGCTGCTAGCTTGGACGTTGAAAACCTCGGCAGTCAGCTTGAAACTGGTCCCAGTGCACTCAAACTTGCCTTGATTCTATCCGCCTTGTTATTAACAAACTCCTGGTTTAGTTAAGGTTCCAGTTGATAGGAAATACTAAACACCAAGTTGCTTCATCATCAGATATGACTTGCGAGTTTCTGTTGGTGATTGGAGATAAAAAGAACAAAGAAATAAAAGAGGCAAGAAGGTTTTGATTGGCGGTGGTGGGATGGTGGCTGGTGCTGGTTGTTGAAGACTTGAATGAATCCAGCAAAGAAACGAATAATTTAAAAAAAATGAATAACAATTTTGATACCCATTTTAGAAAGAATTGTACCAAGCAATAGTAATTTCAATAATTCAAGTAGCTCATACCCATACTGATTTTATGCATATAATATAATTCCATATCTAATTCCAGTTCCAGAGCAAGAACCAGGCGCCTCCTAAGTTTATTCAGAAAGCCCTCCTTACTAACACAAGAAGGCCTGGGCTAAACAAGCCGGATTAATAATGACTATCTAATCTGGAGGTAACAATACTAAATAGTACAGATCGGAAATGAAATCTGAAAAAGCTTTGAAGATGTGTAGTAAGGTGGAAAATGTGTGGACCCATCAAATTGGTAACTTGAATCTTATGAAGATAGGGAGGCACGTTTGGGGATCTACCTATAGTATTCAAAAAACAAATGGCAAAGTGGACTGTGTTTTGAGATTGATTAAAGAGAAACTATAAGAAATTCAATTTGGACATACAGAAACAGGAAACAGTCAAACTAAAAGTACCATGAGATGAACAAAGAGAGAATCATACAAGCATCAAGATGCAATGTATCCCTCTAGTCTACAGTCATGGCTTCAGGACCGCCATTAGCATCCTCCACCCCATTCTTATGCTCATCAATTACCATTCGCATCTCCTCAACCAAACTACGCTGCTCTTCCTCTATCGTGTTTTGGAGCTCATCCACCTGCAAAAATAGTTTGAAGGTCACGATTAAGTAAAAGAACAAGTCACGCAATACATTGATTGTTACTTGGAAAGGCGCCAAAAAGCTTTAGGTATCATGTACGGTAAAAGTTCGTAGACAAAGATGTGAAATCAATTATATATCCTACTGAGTGATTTGCAGGATGCCAGAAGCTGAAGAATCACATTTACATTCTCAATAGTAATGACAAACTAGAACACTACAAAAATTCTGAGAACTTATTGACATCCTTAGCAATGTAGTTGAACATCAAATTCTTGTGGTTGATGATACCATAAAGAGACAAAAGTTTAAGCAAGTAGTACAACAGCCACAATAGTGATGTCTAAGAGGATGATTTGGAATTGACACTCATGTCAAAATAGTTCAAAAAGTATTAACAAAAAAAAGTGATAAAAGCACAAGAAAAAGCTACATGTCAAAAGAATCCCTTAAGAGACACAAGTTTCTTGTAGCTGGTTATCTTTTTAAAATCAGCCAGTGGAGTTAAACACATCTAGAAATGCAAAAAATCCAATAAATAAAAAAATAAATAAAAGTATGAAAGAGAAATAGGAGCCAAGGAGAATATTATGTTATCATGCCAAAAGGAGATTAGCAAAAGTTACAGGTGTCACAGGACAATAAACATGTATATGATGTCATCAATATTCAGTACATTACAAAGTATCCTGTTTCAACTGCTATGCCCTCACTACTCATATACCTCAATGTTCTGTTACTAATGCTTATCCAATTCTTGCAAGTGATCATGAAGATGGCCAAAACTTCATTTACATGGTTATAAACAAGATTAACATTACTGCAGAAGACTATCACTACTGTGTTGATTGGTTGGAGAAAGAAATAATAAGGCTGTACAGCCCCTTTCCCACAAATGTTGAGCACTTAGCACCTATCCTGCTACTAGTAGCTAATCGTCAACATTAACCTGCTTCACTGTATTTTGGCCCTCAGTATATTTTGCATAACATCGTTATGAAGCCCCATAGTTTTGCTTTTTAATTGCAGCAACAACTTATGTTTTGAATTCAAACTTAAAAAACATCAAATTTCAGCATCCCTGGGCTTTCCTAACCCCAACACTTTCATGTTTTCATTAACCTAGACAGTGCTGTCTTCTTGAATTTCCAACCATAGTTTTGCACCAAATCATTCACAAGAGACAGCCAAGCAGCAATTATTAGCACCTATGATTCCAACTCATAATCTGCACCAAACCATACACCTTTGATCTGTGACTAACAATTCTACAAAGTCTCGATTTCTGAAATGGAAGATATATATAGAAAACATAAATTCCCTTTTTCTCTTTTTCAATGCATAAAGGGAGAAAGGGCCACAATATCCAAGACCACTATAAAGGCAGCTTCATTTGACTTGCTAACCCTTACCTTCCAAAGGCTCAAGTTTTTTAGTTCTTATCAACAAAGCAATGAATCTACTCCAACCTCATGAGCTCTTCATCAACAGATTAATTTGAATACAACAGGTAGTACATAAATACAATGTTCAAATAGTGGCCCTTTGATTTATTGATGCTTTCTAATATCCCAAGAAATATAAGTGCCTCTATAAGTCCCCTTTTTGAGGGGGAAACTTCCAATTTTAACAGTTCAGAATCAAGTAAACCACAACAAAAATTTAGCCACACCCAATTAATCCATCTGCTTTCCTTAAAACTTTTCTGTTTATGAGATCTTGATATCCCAAGCCCTCCATTCAAAAGAATGAACAATAATACTTACTAAGGTAGTGGTCAGTTAACTAGCATAACGGATTATTGATTTCCAAAAGAAATAGAGCATAAAAGTGTGTTTCGCACAATGCAAGCTAGCTGGTACATGGATCAAAGGGTGATCATTACTGTACTATTTGAACCAAATTAGCAACTCTAGAAAACATTTAAAACAATGGCATATCCTCCTAATAGATAGAAAGTTCTTATATTACAGCAACATAGAGGAGGAGAAACACATAACAATGTTTTGCAATTTGTTTCCTCTCTTTCCCTCTCTCGCTGGTTGGGGTTAGGGAGAGTTTTACCATAGAAAGAATACTTAGCTACCATCTAAATTAAGTAGGATTCCCATTGACCTAATTAAGAGAATCACAAAAAGGACAACCCCAATCAGCAAATTAAATTTTACATGCAAGCACTAAGAAGTGTTTTTAATTTCACTTGCGCCTGCAAAATTTACACAATGAAATACAAAAAAGCACGAATTTTCTACAAATCACTATCACATACCACATGCAGTAGAAGTGCAAATTGCTTTTTCCGAAGCTCCAGCGTCCTTGAACCAGCAGTGTTCTCCGCCTCCAATAACTCAATCTCTCTCTCCAGCTCTGAGATGACCTTCTGAGTTTCTGACCTTGGTGGTTGCAAAGCAATCAACCTCCTAATTGCCTCACACTCCTCTTTATGCTGCCTCTCAATCTTACTCGCTTCAAGCTGCTTCTTCAAATCCTCAATATCATCTTGCGCTTGCAAAATCTGCTTGTTTATATCATCTTTCAACTCATTAAAATTCTCCTTCTCCCTAACATTTGCATCTATAACCGCTTTACTCTTCAGCAAAGGTATCTCAAAAGTATTTAACTCCTGCAAAAATGCTTTCGCAAGTCTCTCACAATCACCATAGTTATCCCCCTCCTTCTCAACCTCCAAAGCAAAAGCTGCAAATTTTTTTTGTAATTTCTTCAATGGTGGTTCACCCCTTGTAGTTGTCGTACGAGTTAAAAGCCTATGCTTTATAATAATATCATCTTCAAGCGGGCCAAAAGCATAATGTGCTGCCACTGCCTCTCCTTTACCAGCAACTTTCCTGCCCTTAACCAACATTTAGCCTATTCTTTATATTTTTACAAAAATCCTGCAATAACACCATTTCGCTTCCATCAACACACATATCAACCATGAACCTAACAAAACTTCAACAATATACTAACTCAAAGTATAACCAAAAAAAGGAAAAAAAAAAATGTCCCTCTTTTTTCATGTTTTAATTTCCATTTCCCCAACTTGATTCTATTAAATGTTATTTATATTTAAATAACAAAAAAAGTAAAATTGACAAGTGCGTGATATCAAGTCTTTTTTTTTTCCTGTCCTCAAATGGAAAATCAAAAACCCAGATAAAACCCTAACCCCCAATTTGATAAATCTCACCAATTAATCGAAAAAAAAAATTTCACCTCAGAACCCAGCTGAATTAAGTCTCATAAGTAATCTAACATAATTGATAAAACAAAAAAAAAAAAGAAAAGAAAAACACCCACAGATACAAATGAATGCGTACAAAGCAAACAATCCAAACAGCATAAACATAAACGAAAGAATAGAAAGGAAACTACTTTTCAAGTACCTCGGGTTTGGGAAAGGGGTTTTGTCATACCAATAGTGGAGGAGAACAGAGGAAGCTGCGGAAGAGGTCGAAGGGACAATGAAAGCGTGAAATTGCTTACAAGAGATTTTTAACGATTTACTAAAGTTAGCTATCAGGAGTTCTTACTTTTGGGTGGAGAAGATGGGGTTAATGGTCCTGATGGATGCCGGGTAGGCGGTACAATGACACAAAAGGGGTTAATAACACTTTGCCCCCTGAACTTAGTGGGTAATTATAGTTTACCTTCTTTCACTTTAAATATATACACTTTATCCCATGAAGACTAGTTAAAGCTAGAAGTACAAAAAAGTGAGTGCAATGATTTTATTAACTTTTTATTCATGAATTTATCTATAAATTAATATTATTCCTTTTATTGTTAAAAAAGTATGCATCTTCTCTAGTGTATCAACTATACAACAATCTCTAAGCAAAGCAAAAAAAAAAAAGTTTGTATTTAGTTTATATCCTTAAAATTTTTTCCTGTTGGGTTGATATTCAATTTTATATATGTTTTGTTCAATTTATTATACTTTAAGTCAAACAAAAAGGATAAATAACATAATACTAAAATAAACATAATTGTCAAATTTCATTTTTGGAAAAAGAGGTAATACTAAACTTGTTTTTTGTTCAAAAAAGTAATTTTTTATTATTTTAGTTTAGGTGAACTTTTAGGCTAATACTATTTTTATTTTTTGTTGATATACTTATAGTATACTATTATTGCCTTTTCTTTTTTAAAAAATGAAATTTGATTTAATCTCCATTTTCCTTCTCTAGATTTAAAAATAAAGCATATCAAATATTTTTTGTCACTTTGATTAGGAATTTAATATTGGACTAATTTGATAAATAAAAATGACAACAATATTAGTCTACAAGCTAAAGAAATTAAAATAATAAAAGACTACTTTAAAAAAATGAGTATAGTATCACCTTTTTTTTTGAAATTTTTGGCAATTGTATTTATTTTTAGTATTGTGTTATTTATCCATTTTGTTTGACTTAAAGTCTAATAAATTGAATAAAACATACATAAAAGTGAACATTAGTCTAACAAAAAATTTTCAAGGATATAAACCAAATATTAACCGTCTTTAACTTTTCTTAGTATGACATTTTTATACAATTAATACAATAGAGAAGATGTAAATCTTTAGTAATGAAAGGAAGTGATACTAAGTTATAGATAAGTTCAAGAATAAAAGGGTAATAATGTCATTGCGTTCACTTTTTTTTTTTTTTTTGTATTTTTAACTTTGATTAGCCTTTATGGGGCTTAAAAATACATACACGCACACATATGTAGTGGTACTAAGTTGTAGATAAGTTCATGAATAAAAGAGTAAAATGTCATTGCACTCACTTTTTTTTTTTTTTTGTATTTCTAACTTTGATTAGCCTTCATGGGGGTTAAAAATACATACATACATGCATATATGTATATATATATATATGTATATAAAGTTGAGAGGGATAAAGTGTGACTACTTCCTTTGTTCAGGAGGCAAAGTGTTATTCACCCAAAAAAAAGAAGATAATAACTGAAGCATACTTTTCTTTCAATTTTTCCTTTTTTTGAGATTTTTATATCGTTCAATTATAAATAACTCTTAATTATAATGAAAAATTTGGTAAATATGTGCGCATTTCTGTGTGTATATGTATGTGTAATTTTTTTTTGAAAGAAATTATGATCAATGCCTAAGCTCTACTTAGGTAACAAACAAACAAAAATACCAATAACATGAAATTTCTCTTCAATGGTTTTAATTGTTTGGATTCCAAAGTTATAATATAGTAAACTCAATTATTATAAGGGAAAATGACATGTTACATCCCTCACATTTCGTAAAAAATTTTTTTTCGTCCCTCACATTTAAAACGAAACAAATTGGTCCTTCACATTTAAAAACCCAAGTTTTTACATCCTAGAAATCAACTCTCAGTTGTGAATTAAACCATCTAACAATCCGGTTACAAATTTTAAGGGTAGAATTGGTAGATCACTCGCAAAAATATATTTCTAACAAATAAATTAAACAATTAAAAAATCTTAATTAAAACCTACTTGCTTCTTCAAAAGAACAAAATAGTGCCAAAGCTCTCAAGCCCTAAACCCTTAGAGCAACAAAACCAAGGAATATTGTTGATGTGTTGTCAACTATAGTTCTTATTAATCTAGAACGTATTAAAGTGGTGAATCCTTGTAGATGGAAGGCAACGAAGGGGAAGAAACGGGGTGGTAGGCACCAGACTATGGTAAGTTTTTATGTTAATCGGCAAAAATTTTGTTGATTTACGTTAAATGGGTTGTGGTGCAATAAAATACAACAATTATTGAATGATTGTGTGGTAATCTTGATTATGGTGTAATTTAAATGAAGAACAAGAAACTGGGGTTTTCTAATATGTTGTTGTGGTCGTAAATGGACGATTTTTTTTATCTGTATGCAATGGAATATTTAGGGAGTAAAAAAATCCAATTTTTGTTTTGATGTTGATAATTTATTGAAGATGAGACAAATCAGAGTTATAAATTAATGGTTATAGCATGTGAACATGTTCACCTATTATGGTCCCAAGTGTTTAATGGCCTCAATAATTATTGGCAGGAACAAACACCAATCTTTTTTCTATTAGGGTCCATCATGGAGGTAAGCTTGAAGTTACGCATGAGAGAGCATACGTAGGGAGTTTGGTTGCAGTTTATCACTATTGTAACTTAGAGAGATGGTCTTTGTGTTCCCTCGATAAGATTGCAGAGGAGCTTGGATATGAAGAACATTCTATAAGGTACTACTACTTGCTGCCTGGTCAAAGAATGCAAGATGGCTTGTTTTACATGTTCTCTGAAGAGGATGCAACGGAGTTGGCAAGGATTGGGGAGTGGAAAAAGATGGTTGATGTTTTTTGTACAAGGATTCAACACTTTAATACGTTCTAGATTAATAAGAACTATAGTTGACAACACATCAACGATATTCCTTGGTTTTGTTGCTCTAAGGGTTTAGGGCTTGAGAGCTTTGGCACTATTTCGTTCTTTTGAAGAAGCAAGTGGGTTTTAATTAAGATTTTTTAATTGTTTAATTTATTTCTTAGAAATATTTTTTGTGAGTGATTTACCAATTCTACCCCTAAAATTTGTAACCGGGTTGTTAGATGGTTTGATTTACAACTGAGAGTTGATTTCTAGGATGTAAAAGTTTGGATTTTTAAATATGAAGGATCAATTTGTTTCGTTTTACATGTGAGGGACGGAAAGAATTTTTTTACGAAATGTGAGGGATGAAACATGTCATTTTCCCTTATTATAAAAGAACCAACTATTCATTTATGACTCTAGACAATATATGACCTTTTAACATTACTATACTCATCAAGGTGTATATCATGACATGCTAGCAAAGTTAGGTAGAAAGTTTTGTTTTCTTTTTCACTTACTTGCATCCCTCTTTGCCCAAGATGTAAAAGGAGTTGCACTCATTACAAATGTTGTATTACGCTAAATTAAATTTACAATATGATATGTCTCTATTTTATCAAAAAGAAAAAAAAAGAAAAATCAAAGTGTAAATCATGATTGTAGATGTATTGTGATAGAACCTTAGGGTGAAATTCAGTTTTGGAAAATTCCATTTTATGCTGGTAGATGTATTATATATCCCTTTTTACAAAATTGCTCGAAATTTGATCGGTATAACCTAGAGATCTCAAAACCATGTGATGTTGGAACTCGGATAACAGCTCACAAGTCCAATGCCAATCTTCTTAGATTCTAAACTACCCAGTATGACATTTAGAAAATGACCAGTAATAGGCACAACTTTATGAAAATTGGTAGGTAAAAAACAAAAATGTCACTTATGGTTAAGTGAATATACAAAAAAGCTCACTCTCCGTAATTTCAAAGCATACAATCGAACATCTTGTGTTTTGAACTAAACTGAAAGATGACGGAAACCATCAAAACTAACGTGAATAGACAAAATTTCCAACAGATATTTAGTGTTATTCAAAATTTTGAAGTTCACTATCCTTCACTTGCACTTCAGGTTCAACAGGTACAACTAGAGGTGTCAAATAAACCCATTTAATTAATTTTACCCATACTCGCCCATTTATAATTGGATATGGGTACATTAAATTTTTATATATGGGTATAAATGGGTTACCCAATTATACCCATTTAATAAATGGGTATAATTGGGTAACCAATCAAACCCAATTAACCCATTTAACTTGCATTCCCAAACTTCTTTGTATTTTCAGTTTTCACCGTCAATCTTCTTCCCCTCCCCACCAGCAAGCCCACCGCTTCCGCCCTCCCTTCTCTTCCTCCAGTCTTTGATTCCCCTCTCCCCGTCTCTGCTTAATTGAAGGTTTTTGCCCCTTCCATGTCCGATTCCTGAGCTGATCTATGAATAAACTTGCGGTGTCTTGAAAAATTTTTCCGGAGAAATGTTAAGAGTCTGGCCGCTGCTCACCACCTCTGCAAACAGGTACCCACAGCACAACCACGACTATTGCCAAACTAACCATCTACGTTTCAAGTTCATGATACTTCATGATTCGATTTCAGGCGTTGGATGTGACGGTTCTTGAAGGTGGCTACGAATTTGGGCCCAAAAATAGAACTCTTGCTCTAGATGATGTTGGCATTCGAGGTGAGATTATTCTTCAACTTCTCTACTCCAGATGATATACCAGTCGATAATGAAGCATTCTTGAAGTTTTTGCTCTTGATATAAGGAAATCAAAAGTTAGTCAAGGTTAACTGATTTATTTCTGTGTATTGAACTGGTGGGTGTAGAAAAAAGGGGAGGGTTGGGTAAAAAGTGTTGATTACTGTTGTAAGGTCCTCCCATTAGAAAGAGTCAAAAAGCTAAAAAACCAAAGTGGCAAGGAACTTTTTAAAGTGCTGAAAATTGAAAGTTGTTGAAACTTGAGCTTGGCTATCAAGTCATTGAAACTGGCAAGTGCAGTCAGCACAATTAAGTCTGAGAGGGCAGGGCAGGACAAGTTATATGTAAGGCTAAGAGTCTTAGACAGGAAAACATCAGATGAGGTGTACATAGTTGGTAGTATAGATAACAGAAATGCTATCCCATCTTGATCCAACAGATGAGTTGTCAGAGCACAT